TTCCCGCCAAATTAATACATAAAAAATTACCTATAGTTCCCGCCAAATTAATACATAAAAAGTATATATAGTTCCCGCCAAAGTATTATTGAAGACGGATATGGAGTTACTGCCAATGAAAGCTCCTTGGAGTAATTAATAGACAACCAACCTTGAAAAATCGAGGCCAAGGAGCTGAAGCCTCAGGCAAGAACATATTTACGCACTAGCTACAACAGTCAAGGGAATCAGAATCCTCCTGAAGGGATTAATAATTAAAAACAAATCTATTTCATCCCAATCAACTCGGCGAGGGAAAACTCGTACGGAGTTATCACTCAATCGTGCGCCTGGCAGTCCCAGAGGACGCGACACGACGGCCAGACGTACGATTACTGAGAAATAATTACAGGATAGGATCTTTCTCATCTATCCGGTGGGGGGGGGGGGGGGGAGGAGGAGGAGGAGAGTGTATAGCTTCCTCAAGCATCGTTGAAGCGAGAAGACTCAGGGTAGACATGATTACCACATACGAAATACTCAGGGTAGATATGATTACCACATACAAAATACTTAGGGGAGACATGATTACCACATACGAAATACTCAGGGTAGATATGATTACCACATACGAAATACTCAGGGGAGACATGATTACCACATACGAAATACTTAGGGGAGACATGATTACCACATACGAAATGCTCAGGGGAGACATGATTACCACATACGAAATACTCAGGGGAACAAACAGGACAGACTAAGTACAAAAATGCAGCTTGTCTTCTAAAGTGGTTATAGATAGAGACACTAACCTTTCTCTCACCACTTGGATAGTTATCTAGATATTTGTGATGGTCTGAAAGCATATTATGGATCAATAACAGTTTTTTTGTTAACTAGCAATTGAACCTTTCTCCTAAACACAGAATTTTCTCAGGTTACAACTGTATTGTATTTTAAATCGATGGTTTAAAATATTAAAACTACTGTTATCTCGTTTTCTTCAACATGCCATACAGCTAAGGTTTCTTAAATATAAAACTCTTGGGGATACTCAAATAGTTTTGAATTTTATGTTTCACATGATTGAGAATAATACAGTTTAACCTAATCCAATCTAATCTAACCATGGATAGGGAGTAGATAGAACATTTGTAAGATTATGACTGAGCCCAATAGGCTCTAGAACCAATACACCAGTTGGTTAATAGTTGAGAGGCGGAGCCCAAGAGCTATGTCTTATCTGGCCAAAAAACAAACTAGGTGAGTTCCTCCTCCACTAACACATTAACGGAGGTTATCTCCCGTTTTCTTTGCGAGCAACAAAGGCCGCGAGTAATGGTCTATTGCCACAATATGTAAACACCAGCCCTGTCCTGATGCGAACGACGGTCAAGGTTATGGCACACAGCTGACCCTGTGTCACAGAGAGGGAGAGAGAGAGAGAGAGAGAGAGAGAGAGAGAGAGAGAGAGAGAGAGAGAGAGAGAGAGAGAGAGAGAGAGACAGAGAGAGAGAGAGAGAGAGAGAGAGAGAGAGAGAGAGAGAGAGACAGAGAGAGAGAGACAGAGAGAGAGGCAGACATACAGACAAACACTAAACTGTAATATACATTTCAATAAAAAAAACAGACACAAACTAGAGCCACCATTTACGAACACATCAGAAAAAATACAAATTCCTCAGACTATTGTGACGTCACGCGAGAACGTCAACAAACAAGATGGCGGCGGCGGCGTTCGAAACGTTTAGACTCAAGAAACAGATGACGTAATCAAACTCTCAGGTCGCTCTCTTAAGTAAACAATTCGCTCATTAAGACGACAATTAAAAAAGGTATAATTAGGGTTTGGATCCAAAAATTAATAATCACCGCAAGAACGAGCAGTAATGCGGATTTAGGCTCGACACAAGTTAAAAATTCGAATGAATTTTACGCGGGAAAAAATTGGGCGTTTGTTATCGGAATTTTCGTTAATTACGAGAGTAATGAACTTGGGGTCATTAGGGGATGTGTGTGGCCGGCCACAGGTGGCAGGAGGTATAATGGCTCCATTTACAACAATTAAATCACAAGAAATACACCATAATGTAATCTAATCGCATATCACAATTTTTGTAAACACACAAAATTAAAATAGTTTTCTTATTTATTTATATACGAGAAAGTAGATTAAGGGTTGTTAGAGTACATTATCTAGAGAATTACATATATATATATATTAAATTGTATATTATATATATATATATATATATATATATATATATATATATATATATATATATATATATATATATATATATATATATATATATATATATATAGGGGTACCACCTATGGTGCAATTGCAGGGACCCACATCCTCGATGAAGAAAACAAAGAGCTTTCAGAGAAGATCTTGTGGATTCTCACTGAACACTTTCATCTTTTCTTCTCCTACCCCCCCACTATTATTGTTTGTATGTTATGTTTTGTTTTATTTTATTCCAATGCTACAGTTTACAGAGAACACACACACACACACACACACACACACACACACACACACACATCACAGGCAGTGATGTGGTGGAGGCTGACTCCATACACAGTTTTAAATGTAGATATGATAGAGCCCAGTAGGCTCAGGAATCTGTACACCTGTTGATTAACAGTTGAGAGGCGGGACCAAAGAGCCAAAGCTCAACCCCCCGCAAGCACAAATAGGTGAGTACAAATAGGTGAGTACACACCCACACACACACACACACACACACACACACACACACACACACACACACACACACACACACACACACACACACAAATATATAACAATTAAACAATCAGTGTTCGAAGACCTCGTCCAGCTCCTCGGGGGTCGGGTGCGTACCCAAGATACAGCACGCATTTCCCCTCTGAACTGCGACACTGAGGCGCTGGAACAGGAAACTGGCTGCCGACAGATGAGACCATGGCTACCGTATTGGTCTGCCGAAGCGTAGCCGCAGTTACACCAGTGTTTGGTGGAGGTAGGGGTGGCAAGGCGCAGAGTAACACCAATACTTAGGTCCCGATGGTCCAGGCGGGTGTCTAAGGCGGAATTAGTGATAGCCAACAGGAAGTCCCTGACATGGGGAGCTTGCTCAACTAGGAGGCGTGCTTTGTTTTTCTCAGACGCTGCCTCCAGCAATGTTGTGGCAATGTTCTCCAGTATGGGGCTATCCCATTTGGCCTGTTTGCAGAAGTTTGGTAAAGTTGGTCGAAGTTGAGAGGTGGCAAGATTGACCCACTGGCCGGCTCCGTCCGCGAATTTGGGATCATAAATCCCAATGGAGTCTCTTCGGTATTCTGGTAGTATTTCATTCACTGATTCACCAGTAGCACTGGTCGAGGATAAGAATGCCGGCAATGGTAACTGTGTCGCCTTGCGAATACCTATACCCCCGAGTCTAACTGAGAGCGTTGCTTGGTCCCATTGGTCATCTTGCAGGGAGAGATTTAAGACTTTCATTGTTATTAGTTTTAGGAGAGTGTCATATTCTGTTAATTTTGAATAACCTCCTTATGTCGAAGGAGGAGGAGGGAGCACACCTTAGAAAATAGGTAAGCCTGGGCAAAGCCAGGCACCTTGTGAGGAGTACAAAGCATCGTGGGCATAAAAGCCCCTATTCTTTCCTCCATCCTCCTCAGGTCGTTCAGCCTTTCTTCAAGGACTACCTCAATGGCACTCGAGCCTAGAGGCGCCCCTAGCAGCACACTGTTGGTGGGAGCGATCACTGGGGCTCCTGGCAACACGGTTCTTATTGTATCTATGAGTGGCTAGATGAAATGATTTCGCACTTTGATGGATTTAGGGCGAGTCTTAACTCCTCTCCCTTAGATTTCACCAGCTGGAGATCTCCTAGCAGGGACTCCCGTGTCCCTGCCAGGGTGCCATCGTCCAGGAACCAGATGTTGAGTTCGCTGGTCACCCTACTGGTGACCTCTTTAGCTGCCATGCAGAAAAGGAAAGGGGCAAGTGGGTCTCCCTGCTGGACACCTTCTGCGGAAACAACTTCATGTTCCCCAAACAACAGTGTCGATTCCCTACTGTACCCTGCTGAAACGAAGGGAAGTAGACAAGGATAGCTTGTTCAAACTGCTTTCAGTACCACATCCCTTTTTACCTGGTTGAAAGCATTTTTAAAATCTAGTTTAATTACTGTCTTATTTTCTGGAAGGTGCTTGATATAGGCTCGTGCTGCATGAGCTGCTGCTTCACAGCCATGGGGAACACCAAAACCTAGTTGATGGGGTCGAAGCATCGTCGCAGCGTCTATGCTAATTTTTCTGACAGCTGCCCTAGCAACAAGGCGCCGAAGTGTGTTACCCACGGCAATGGGTCTGACTCCACCATCCTTCTTCTTGAGGGCACAAAGGGATGCTCCAAAGAAAAAGGGTTTAATTGTATCTGGGATCAGCCCAGTGAGGTGCTGAGGTCTTACTCCAGTGTATCCCCCTGCCGAGCCTGGCGGAAATGACATGATGGCTTTGTATACCTCTGACGCTTGGAGGAATAGAGGTCCCATGTCTGGGACATTTGTGTCCCGAGCAGTGGGTTCCCATGGTACTCTGGGAGGGTGCTTCTCTCTCAGTGAGTCGGCAGTAGCAGTATTTCTAGGGGCGATTGTGTCTTCACTGGTAAGTAACCTAATTGCTCCTACTGTGTTGCCCTCTTTAATTTTCTTGGTCACTTGTGTTCCAAGCTTAAAATTATCAAATTGCCAGGATATATATATATATATATATATATATATATATATATATATATATATATATATATATATATATATATATAATATATATATATATATATATATATATATATAATGTATTCGTTCAAAGTCACTAGCATGTAGCGTTTCAGAGAGATTTATACAATTTCTTAATTAGTATATAATTTCTTTTAACATTTTAGAGTTAAGAGAATATATGTATATTTTATGTAAATATTGGAAATAAATGTAGATGAGTAATATATATTGTTTACCTTGCAGATGAGGATGGCGTGTTGCTGGTGGCTCGTGTGTAGCGCCTTCCTTGTCCTGGCGGCGGTCGCTGGCCCCTCCCTGGGCCAGCCTATCCAGGACAGGTACGACCTACTAGCCTATTGTGGGTGGTCGGGGGACAAAGGGGGTTCTACTGGCTTAATGACTGTGGTTGGTGGCTGCCAGTCTGGCTAACGCCAGGCTATTCAGCCTGTATGTACCCCATCTCCTTTAATTTCTCTAATTTCTCTAACACCAACACGAACTGTTCCTTAGGCTCGTCCACTTGGTCTGGTTGTGTCTCGGAGAGGCTGCAGGATCCAGCAAGTTCAGTAGAACTTCGGTTTCTACTCCTTTTGACCATGTCGTAGCTCAGTCGATTAAGGCGGCGTCTGGGATGCTCTCGGACGCAGGTTCGAATCCTCGTCACGGCCCTTGTGGATTTGTTCTTGTAGTTAGTCTGTCTCATATCCCCTTCCAAGTGCTATATAGTCATTGTGGTTTAGCATTTTCTTCTGGTAATTACCTTACCCCCTCACCTTGTGTCATATGTGACAAGTTCTCCTCGCAAGTCTTACATTGCCCAACAGGTTTAGCGTACCTTACATGTTTCTTAACATATCATCTTAAGTCCTGAACACTTCTCCCTCGTTTTCTATTAATTAAATCCTTTGGATTTATAAATAATTATTTATTTATATTTATTTATTTATAAATAATTAATAATTCCCTCAACAGAATCCAAATTTATCCAAATTAAAATCAATGATTTATATAGTAAAATAAACACATAAGACTAAGAGATAATAATAATGTGAGTATTAGCGGCATTATGATTGGCTGATAAAGGAGGGAGAGAGTGTCATATCTGGCCGGTGATTGGTTGGAGAAATTGCGTTAGCGTCTCCTGGAACGACCCATAAGACCACGTAACGAGGCAATTTAAGTGTGTGTGACTATGACAACACCTTGGTTAGTGGGAGGAGTAGTTAAGGTCGCCCTCTGAGGCCTTCCTCCTCCTAAGATACACTCCTCAGGCTGTATCTTACTGTATCTTACTGTATCTGTATCACGCGGGGTATGACGTAGGCATAACTCCAGACCTCCTGATTGGTCGCGGATCAGCCAATTAATGCCCGTCTTTCAGCAATACTCATTGTAATTGGCTGCGGATCGCATGGGCTTAGTGACGTCATCATATAGTTATTATATCATTGGCAACTGATCGTCGCGTGTGATTGGATATGGATTTCAACTGATTAATGACGTCACATATAAGGACGCAGTTCATTGGTTAATTTCAAATGATAAATGACGTCACACATGAGGACGCAGTTCATTGGTTAATTTCAAATGATAAATGACGTCACACATGAGGACGCAGTTCATTGGTTAATTTCAAATGATAAATGACGTCACATATAAGGACGCAGTTCATTGGTTAATTTCAAATGATAAATGACGTCACATATGAGGACGCAGTTCATTGGTTAATTTCAAATGATAAATGACGTCACACATGAGGACGCAGTTCATTGGTTAATTTCAAATGATAAATGACGTCACATATGAGGACGCAGTTCATTGGTTAATTTCAAATGATAAATGACGTCACATATAAGGACGCAGTTCATTGGTTAATTTCAAATGATAAATGACGTCACACATAAGGACGCAGTTCATTGGTTAATTTCAAATGATAAATGACGTCACATATAAGGACGCAGCTCATTGGTTAATTTAACCACTTTCACCAATCAAGTAAAACAAAGTAATATCGGAGAGTTTCTTTCCTTAAAAATTGTTTTAATATACTTACGATAATATGAATAATATTCTGATAATACGAATAATTAATTCTTCTGATAATACGAACAACTAATACTTCAATAATACCAATAGAAATTAAAAATTTTAATAAATATATTTGATCAAAATTAATAGCATTGGTTACTGTCTGAATTACCTGACTATTGACAGGGATAGATGATAGACTAAGACAGGGATAGATGATAGACTAAGACAGGGATAGATGATAGACTAAGACAGGGATAGATGATAGACTAAGACAGGGATAGATGATAGACTAAGACTGGGATAGATGATAGACTAAGACTGGGATAGATGATAGACTAAAGACAGGATAGATGATAGACTAAGACAGGGATAGATGATAGACTAGACTGGGATAGATGATAGATTAAAGACAGGGATAGATGATAGACTAAAGACAGGGATAGATGATAGACTAAGACAGGGATAGATGATAGACTAAAGACAGGGATAGATGATAGACTAAAGACAGGGATAGATGATAGACTAAAGACAGGGATAGATGATAGACTAAGACAGGGATAGATGATAGACTAAAGACAGGGATAGATGATAGACTAAGACAGGGATAGATGATAGACTAAAGACAGGGATAGATGATAGACTAAAGACAGGGATAGATGATAGACTAAAGACAGGATAGATGATAGATTAAGACAGGGATAGATGATAGACTAAGACAGGGATAGATGATAGATTAAAGACAGGGATAGATGATAGATTAAAGACAGGGATAGATGATAGACTAAAGACGAGGATAGATGATAGACTAAAAACATAGCAGACGGAATAAGCCTAAAACAGACAGACACTCACCCTTCTCCTAAACCACAATCTTCAACAGCACAATAAGAAACAAAATAACAGCAGATATAAAGCATATATACATGACTATACATACATATCCACCAAACATACATGTATACACTCAGAAGTGAGAGAGACTAATTTATGCAGACAAATAATTAGGACAAATTGGTACCAATTCATTACCCAATTACCAAATGATGTCGTTAGTGTGATGAGAACTCTCTCTTAACTGATTACATTAACTATCAGTCGTTATCAATATTTAATCAGGTCAATATAATTAAGATATTTGATATGTTTAATGTTTAATAAGTGGAGTGAAGTCAAATGGATTCTTTATATGTTAAAATGTTACTCACTGAGTCTTGATTGATTATGGAGATTCTGTGTCTTTCTGTCTCGGCCCCAACCACTTGGGCTGGACGGTAGAGCGACGGTCTCGCGTCAAGCAGGTCGGTGTTCAATCCCCGACCGTCCATAAGTGGTTGGGCACCATTTCTTTCCCCCTGTCCCATCCCAAATCCTTATCCTGACCCCTTCCCAGTGCTATATAGTCGTAATGGCTTGACGTTCTCTCCTGATAATTTCCTTCCCTTGTCTCTCACTCTCTCTCACTCACTCTCTCACTTGCAGTGACTTAGGGGACATGCCAGAGCGCCTGCGCGAACTGCTCTTAATTCGTCGACTAGTTTCAAATTTGAACTCTGCGGAGGCGGCCATTCCTGACGCCCTGCCTGGGATCCGGTGAGTAAGCGACCACAACAACAACAACACGTGTTTACAAACTCTCCTACAATAATTTCAGGAAATTCCTGAAATAATTTCAGAAATTCTTCCAGGAATTTCCGTCAGTTTTGAATTTTTAAATCAACTTTATAAAGCATTTTCAGAACTTTGCATGAATTTTGAAAATATATTTTGAGGGATTTTGATCTAGAGGAAGTTTTGAAGATTTTAAAATTGCCTTTTTCCTAGGATTTTAGATTTTATCTGATGATATTAATCAGTAATTTGTTTAATTTTTATGTAAGTCTTCCGATAACGTTAGTCTGTCGGTCAGGCAGTATCGGGGGATCCTGGCATGGGACAGAAACAGTTGGGCACGTTTCCATTCACCTGATGCCTCTGTCCACCTGGCAGTAATCAGGTACCCGGGAGTTAGTCAGCTTATTATGGGGTTGCATCCTTTAAGGACCTCAATGCTAGCATAAAAATCACATATAAACGCAGGCTTCATGTCCCCGACAGAACGAATCATACTATAATACTTAAATAATATAAATGACTAGGTATATAATATATAATTATTATATAGCATATATGATAATTTTACAAATCAACTAAAATATAGGTAGGATTACCTTCGACAAGGCGCTGGCTTCCTGTCCTCGTAGAGGCCACTAGAGAGATAGTGGTCCTCAGGTAAATATAGGTAAATTCATTTATAAAATGGAGGCTTTCTCGTATATACCGACCCACGTTGCTATATAATGTCATATGCGGAAAATCCACAGAGAAATATGAAATGAGGTGAACGTTTCGGAACGAACGTTTTCTCTGTGGATCCGCATATATATATATATATATATATATATATATATATATATATATATATATATATATATATATATATATATATATATATATATATATATATATATATATATATATATATATATAATATATATATATATATATATATATATATATATATATATATATATATATATATATATAACAATTATATTCACGACATATTTATTTAACCGGTAATTATAGACGCTGGGAATTATATGCTTGTAATTCTAAAACCTCAAATTCAAAATTGAAAACAAAATTGAAGGCACAAAAAAAATAGAAAACCTTCAATAGGCTTTTTCTTAGTGATATATTTTAAATAATTCCTATTGTCGGGGACAGGAAGCCTGCGTATATGTATATTTTTTAGGCCTATATCGTGGCCGCCTCCCCCTCCCCCCCCCACAACAGTCACAACCCACAACAGCTGACTAACTCCCGCGGGGTACCTAGTTACCACTAGGTGAACAGATGCATCAGGTGATAGGAAACGTGACCAGGCATTTCTCTCTCGTCCGGGGATCGAACCCGAGGTCACCTGCAGTAACAACATGCTATTGTATATATTGTATGATACAATACACTGCATGAAAGCCTACTGTATTGCAGAATAAAATTAGCTTTGTATAAATTGGAATTTATACAAATGTTTAAATGTTAATATAAAACTTAATATAAATGTATGATACATTAAATGTTTGTTGTATAATTTATTAACATTTTTGTAAACATTTGGACATTTTTTTGTTGTTTAAATTATATTGTGTTGAGTAGATCACTAGTGTATGATGTATTGGTGTAGTGTAGGTGTTGTATTGATGAGTGAGTGTAACATCACTAGTGTATGATGTATTGGTGTAGTGTAGGTGTTGTATTGATGAGTGAGTGTAACATCACTAGTGTATGATGTATTGGTGTAGTGTAGGCGCTGTAGGTGTTGTATTGATGAGTGAGTGTAACATCCCTAGTGTATGATGTATTAGTGTAGTGTAGGTGTTGTATTGATGAGTGAGTGTAACATCCCTAGTGTATGATGTATTGGTGTAGTGTAGGCGCTGTAGGTGTTGTATTGATGAGTGAGTGTAACATCCCTAGTGTATGATGTATTAGTGTAGTGTAGGTGTTGTATTGATGAGTGAGTGTAACATCCCTAGTGTATGATGTATTGGTGTAGTGTAGGCGCTGTAGGTGTTGTATTGATGAGTGAGTGTAACATCCCTAGTGTATGATGTATTGGTGTAGTGTAGGCGCTGTAGGTGTTGTATTGATGAGTGAGTGTAACATCCCTAGTGTATGATGTATTGGTGTAGTGTAGGCGCTGTAGGTGTTGTATTGATGAGTGAGTGTAACATCCCTAGTGTATGATGTATTGGTGTAGTGTAGGCGCTGTAGGTGTTGTATTGATGAGTGAGTGTAACATCCCTAGTGTATGATGTATTGGTGTAGTGTAGGTGTTGTATTGATGAGTGAGTGTAACATCCCTAGTGTATGATGTATTGGTGTAGTGTAGGCGCTGTAGGTGTTGTATTGATGAGTGAGTGTAACATCCCTAGTGTATGATGTATTGGTGTAGTGTAGGCGCTGTAGGTGTTGTATTGATGAGTGAGTGTAACATCCCTAGTGTATGATGTATTAGTGTAGTGTAGGTGTTGTATTGATGAGTGAGTGTAACATCCCTAGTGTATGATGTATTGGTGTAGTGTAGGCGCTGTAGGTGTTGTATTGATGAGTGAGTGTAACATCCCTAGTGTATGATGTATTGGTGTAGTGTAGGCGCTGTAGGTTTGTATTGATGAGTGAGTGTAACATCACTAGTGTATGATGTATTGGTGTAGTGTAGTGTAGGTGTTGTATTGATGAGTGAGTGTAACATCCCTAGTGTATGATGTATTGGTGTAGTGTAGGTGTTGTATTGATGAGTGAGTGTAACATCACTAGTGTATGATGTATTGGTGTAGTGTAGGTGTTGTATTGATGAGTGAGTGTAACATCACTAGTGTATGATGTATTGGTGTAGTGTAGGTGTTGTATTGATGAGTGAGTGTAACATCACTAGTGTATGATGTATTGGTGTAGTGTAGGTGTTGTATTGATGAGTGAGTGTAACATCACTAGTGTATGATGTATTGGTGTAGTGTAGGTGTTGTATTGATGAGTGAGTGTAACATCACTAGTGTATGATGTATTGGTGTAGTGTAGGTGCTGTAGGTGTTGTATTGATGAGTGAGTGTAACATCACTAGTGTATGATGTATTGGTGTAGTGTAGGTGTTGTATTGATGAGTGAGTGTAACATCACTAGTGTATGATGTATTGGTGTAGTGTAGGTGCTGTAGGTGTTGTATTGATGAGTGAGTGTAACATCACTAGTGTATGATGTATTGGTGTAGTGTAGGTGTTGTATTGATGAGTGAGTGTAACATCACTAGTGTATGATGTATTGGTGTAGTGTAGGCGCTGTAGGTGTTGTATTGATGAGTGAGTGTAACATCACTAGTGTATGATGTATTGGTGTAGTGTAGGCGCTGTAGGTGTTGTATTGATGAGTGAGTGTAACATCACTAGTGTATGATGTATTGGTGTAGTGTAGGCGCTGTAGGTGTTGTATTGATGAGTGAGTGTAACATCACTAGTGTATGATGTATTGGTGTAGTGTAGTGTAGGTGTTGTATTGATGAGTGAGTGTAACATCACTAGTGTATGATGTATTGGTGTAGTGTAGGCGCTGTAGGTGTTGTATTGATGAGTGAGTGTAACATCACTAGTGTATGATGTATTGGTGTAGTGTAGGTGTTGTATTGATGAGTGAGTGTAACATCACTAGTGTATGATGTATTGGTGTAGTGTAGGTGTTGTATTGATGAGTGAGTGTAACATCCCTAGTGTATGATGTATTGGTGTAGTGTAGGTGTTGTATTGATGAGTGAGTGTAACATCACTAGTGTATGATGTATTGGTGTAGTGTAGGTGTTGTATTGATGAGTGAGTGTAACATCACTAGTGTATGATGTATTAGTGTAGTGTAGGTGTTGTATTGATGAGTGAGTGTAACATCCCTAGTGTATGGTGTATTGGTGTAGTGTAGGCGCTGTAGGTGTTGTATTGATGAGTGAGTGTAACATCCCTAGTGTATGATGTATTGGTGTAGTGTAGGTGTTGTATTGATGAGTGAGTGTAACATCCCTAGTGTATGATGTATTGTGTAGTGTAGGTGTTGTATTGATGAGTGAGTGTAACATCACTAGTGTATGATGTATTGGTGTAGTGTAGGCATCACTAGTGTATGATGTATTGGTGTAGTGTAGGCGCTGTAGGTGTTGTATTGATGAGTGAGTGTAACATCCCTAGTGTATGATGTATTGGTGTAGTGTAGGCGCTGTAGGTGTTGTATTGATGAGTGAGTGTAACATCACTAGTGTATGATGTATTGGTGTAGTGTAGGTGTTGTATTGATGAGTGAGTGTAACCTGAGTGTTAGACTTTATGTGAATTCATCTATTTTTTTTGTTTACTAACCTATTTGTGCCTGCAGGACCGAGCATTAGCTCTTGGACCCCGCCTTTCTGTGTGTGTGTGTGTGTGTGTGTGTGTGTACTCACCGAGTTGTGCTTGCGGGGGTTGAGCTCTGGCTCTTTGGTCCCGCCTCTCAACTGTCAATCAACTGGTGTACAGATTCCTGAGCCTACTGGGCTCTATCATATCTACATTATGAACTGTGTATGGAGTCAGCCTCCACTACATCACTGCCTAATGCATTCCACCTGTTAACTACTCCCACACTGAAAAAGTTCCTTCTAACGTCTCTGTGGCTTATGTGGGTACTCAGTCTCCACCTGTGTCCCCTTGTTAGCGTACCATCACTGTTAAACTGTTTATCTTTATCTACCCTGTCAATTCCTCTGAGAATTTTGTAGGTCGTGATCATGCCTCCCCTTACTCTTCTGTCTTTCAGTGTCGTGAGGTGCATTTCTCACAGCCTTTCCTCGTAACTCATGCCTCTTATTTCTGGGACTAGCCTAGTGGCATACCTTTGGACTTTTTCTAGCTTCGCTTTGTGCTTGACAAGGTACGGGCTCCATGCTGGGGCCGCATACTCCAGGATTGGTCTTACATATGTGGTGTACAAGATTCTGAATGATTCCTTACACAGGTTCCTGAACGCTGTTC